ACATTTTCTTTGGAATTTTTTTGTACCTGGCTCATTTTTTCTATGTTTTATTGACTCCACTTGGACACGAATTTTTGCACCACTCTTTACACGTACAAGCGGATCATTATCAGGCTTCATATTATGAAGAAAAGATGTTAGCACTGGGATAGACTTGGCTTCGCTACATTATACCTTTCAGCTAATTTCTCAAGAGAAGCCCGAAGTTGAGGGCCACCATTTTTATAATCATCCTTGACTGTTTCAAGAAACGATTCAAATAATTCCAGATTATGCCTTAATTAAAATAATTTATTTAGATAGTGCTAATATGTATATAAATATATATAATAAAGTAAACTCATATTTCAGTTACAGTAATTTGGCCTATATCTATATTAACTTTAGTGTTAGATCTCTCCAATTCATGTGTTTTGTTAGGTGAAATCTTGATATAGTTATAATTTTCACGTTGACTATAATTTGTTTGAGAATGTAACGAGGCGTAGAAAGAATTATTAGCCACAACACCTAAATTATGTATAAAGATCATATAAATAAATGCTATTAAGTTAATCAAAAAATATATTTATAAAAACCATTTAGCGCATTCAATTAATTATAAAATGCTTACCACGTGCAATATATGCAAAACGAGCACGATCATTAGGTGTTAGTGATGGAAGAAAATTTAAAGATCCAATATGATATTTTGCGGCCACTGCTTCCTGATGTTTACATGGTGCTCCTGATAGTCCTACAAAACAAATATATGTACAGAACTCAGTATTGACTATGTAAAATAAGTCTATGCCTTTTTCTTGACTTGGGACCATATATTTTGTGGTTAACTCAGTTTGTCGAATCTCTGTAGCATTAATCGCATCCCAACTAAGACACAAAAACTTTCTAGCAATTTGAAGATGACCAGGATGACTATGTGCTATTCCTAGTAACCGACGCTTATAGTACTGTTCCATATTTGTAATGATAAATTAAAACACCTGAACAATGTTGTATGCCTGTATGCGTACAAATATAATATCCTTTAATAATCCGAAGCTATGTTCGATGTAGTTGTTGGTATTATTACTATGTGTGAAAAGCCCAGTATGAAAAAGTAATGCCCAAAATTGTCGTCTGCTCCAAATTAACTCAAAATATTTTTGTAATTGCAGATAGATATGATAGTAATTAGCCTTTAACTCATTGTAATATTTTATCATTTCAATTTCTGTTTGAGCATATAGGATTCTTCTCATAGTTTTCATAATGAGTATTTTATGATTTTTATCTATGCAGTGCTTCGAATTATGTAACCAACGCCAGAACACTTGTAGGACATGGAATACACATAATAAGCGTCCTGCTTGTGGCCAACAATACTCTAAAGTATTGCATTCACTAGCTGAATCATCCGTCAGAAAAGTCATTGGTCCAATATTAAGCCCACGGTCAAAAAATGCATATTGCGGAAGAAGTGTTTTTAAAAGATTCATTCCCTTCTTAAGGGTTAACTCTAATTTATCAAATGTTACTAGAATACCAAGAGGCAATGCCCCACAATACAGCTTGTATAGAATAAGGTAATCAACATATTTAACGATTCAAAGGATGCTGACGCATCCACATAACAAATCTCACCTAATTGCTAAATTATTTTATAAACACAGTCTATTAAGTTCATAACTATGCAAAGAATAAAGGCTTTTCCTTTCCGAGAATTATACTCTTGAAATATTGCACATCTTTTTTCTGAATTATTATAATTATTAACTTCATCTGTTAATCATTGAAACATAGTAATATCATTTTTTCCTCCAAGATGTTCATTACGATACTGCTTAAATAAATTTAAAACATAACCATAATCAGGGTTTTGTGCACGGTCAGCTAATAATAACATAAATTCTTGATCATTTTCTGCGTTCAAATAAAGACTATCTTTATAAGCATATAAGGCCGTCGCTGGTGAGTGTCCATTAGCAAAAAGATCAATATATTTTTTACGAATATCTTCTTTAACGTGTCTGAAACTAAGGGACTTCGCAGAATGAATAACATGATTATGTGTGAACTTGAGATTAATTTCTAGTGGATAAAGTGATTGGAGACGCCACCGTTCAAGTCAAAGATGAATAGTAGCTATATATCTAGTATTTCTAATTCGCATTGAATTAGGCTTTTTCAACGTGAGATTCCCTTGTTTTTGTCTTACTACATCACTATGGATACAGTGTCTCATTTCACGAAAGATAACCTTTTTTTCCTGAAGTTGATAGCCTTTGGTTTGAGGCATTGTCGTTTTTGTTATTTCCTCAAACTCAGTAAACCATTTACATGCACTTTCGCTAGTATCAATATTCACAAAGAAATTAACTTCAAAATGATCAAATGAAAACCCTTCCGTTGTAATATAAGCAGGAATTTGGTGAACTTCAGAGATAAAATAATTATAGTTTAACGGAAGTATATCTGCAACATGTTCGGGTAATACTGTGTTCGTTTTATATGATATGTTTGTGTTAAGTGGTGGTTCTAAAATCTCACTTAAATTCATGATATATATTACTAAATAGCGAAATATGCAAATTTAAAAAGAAAAATTGCGTATAGGTTTTAAAAGAGAAAAAGAACACAGAAAGGTTTTAGAAAAAAAGAGAATATAGATTTAGAGAGAAAAAGG